TTTATCAACGACATTGCTAGTCTAGACATCAGCGGTAAAATCTGTCTTTCGGCTGATGATACTGTCACTTGGAGCAACTCGGATATTGTAGCTCTTCATAGAAACATGTCCATCGACTTGTTGGCCATAAAATCATGGTGCGACTCTAACCTTCTCTACTTCAACGCTGCGAAAACAAAAGTTCTGTCATATAAAAGTACGATGCAACCTATTGTACTTAATAACACTACTAATATTAACGTCGTTAATTCCGTAAAGTTTTTGGGCCTTATTATAGACAAATCCCTGAAATGAAATTCGCACATCGATTCTTTATCAAAAAAAATAAGTTCCGCTTGCTTTGCGATAAGATCAGTTTTCAAGGAACCTAACTTGTCAACTTCTAGAAGAGTCTATTTTGCCCTTTTCGAATCACATCTTCGATACGCCCTTTCATTCTGGGGTTCACGCTGTGCGACTCAATTTGAGCGTATTTTATTACAAAAAAGAGCTATTAGATATTCCCTTAACATTAAAAAAATAGAGCCCATTGCCAAGATTTTGCCAAAAAATATAAAATATTAACACTCACATTATTCTTCCCTTTTCATACTAGAATCAGTCTGCCTAATCCGCAAACACCTGCCCAGTATTTCAGAAAGGCCATTGCATAACAATCCACGTAGAAATGCGGAGCATGATCTTTATCTGCCAACTCCAACCTCCGAGTTAATTGAGAGCTCTAATCAATGACATCAAAACACAGATAGACCGAACAATAAACAAAATTTTCGTATGACAACATCTCTCTGTCTCTTTTGGGTCTTTGTGCTATCCCCACCACTGAGAATGCCAAATTTTGTCTTGAAACCCTAAATAATATATTTTTATCCTTTTCTAATTAACGTTTTCAATTTTACTTCTGAACACAATTTGGCAACAGCAGATTGTAGCAAAACACTGCCCAGAAGCGGCTTGTTGAATGGCAGGCAGGTGTTTGTTGGAGTAGCTAGCTATCTTTATCGCAAACAGGGATTATTTATTAGCGTTAAATAAGAAACGACCGATACGATATTGGTACTCCCAGAATAAAGGGCTCGTATCGAATATTTTCAGTTTATTTGTCAATTTGTTATTTTATTTATTCATCCAATTAAATTTCGAGATATATTCACGTGTGGGCGGGGTTTTTTACACCATTTTGAGCAATAATGTCTCCCTACCCCGACCCCGCGAGCAACTCACCTCCCCTGGCCCATGGGTGGTCTTGTCAACACAACAAATAACAGTTTATGAATGGGATGATCCGTCTATCTGTGTTTTGATGTCATTGGCTCTAATTCTATACAACGCAAAAAAAATGCACAATCATCTGCCAGTAGTAATCAAGTCCATCCTTCCGTCTTCCTAAATTTCGCATAGCTCTAAAATCCTATTTATCAGAGAGAGCCTTATATAAAGTAAATGACTTTTTTCTGACCTTATTTTGAGCGATCCACACACTGGATCATTGTTTATAGGTGATTTGTTCATTTTTATATTTGTTAATTTTTATATTTGTTCATTTTTATATTTGTTTATGTTTATTTTATATAATTTTTTTTGCCCTTCTATACAAGTAGATGTATATAATATTATATATTTTTAAATTTAAGGCTTTGTCTACAAATTCAGCCTTATGCAGTATGTACATTGACTTTAATTTCAATGTTGAAATAATCTCAATAAATATTTTCTTTCATTTCAATGTTGAAAAAAATTGGTATGCAGGAACGGCACTTGACTAGAATTATTCAAATAAAAATTTATTGAAATTAATTTCAAGGTTTATATTTGGCAACAGTGTTTTTCAAATGCCACGAGAATGAAAGAGAAGAATATTTGTCCTCATAACCTATAAAATTCAAAAATTCCGTTGTGTTGTGTTTTGTTTGTTTATGTTTTTTGGTTGGTGAAATAATTTAAGGAAGAAATAATTATTATAAGGTAAGTTTATAATATGGGCACCCAGATATCTTGTAAACCATTTGAAGGTCTCTGACCCCCCAATAATAATAATTACATAAATCCTATTCCCTGTTTACCAGTAGTAGGTAACCAGGAAAAACAGCTTCTACAACCTGATTTGATAAAAATTCATGTCCAGGTCCAGCTCATGCTATACAAAAAATGTATTATAATTTTTGATTTTTAATAGATGCCACCCAAAAAAACCACAATCGAACAGAACAAAACGTTGGTCGACTTAGTTGCAGAATGTAACTGTTTACTTTGGGGCAAAGGAACCCCCGAGCAGAAAAAGCGGGCTTGGGATGATATTTCCTTGACTCTAAATGCCATAGGAGGGGTCGAAAAAAACGGAGAGCAGTGGAGGAAGGTGCAGTAAAAATGCAATTATAGTATATTACAATCCGAGACGGAAAATACTTCATTGCTGGTCGAGAGGTTATTATAGTTTATCGAGACGCGAAGCGTCGAGATAAACTCAACCTCGAGACAGAAATGAAGTTTTCCGTCGAGGTTTGTATACTTTTTTATTTTCAACCCTTAATTTTCTGATGCAAAAACTAAAGATTCTGTTATACGAAATTTTCATATAGTGTAAAACTGGCCTTAGAAAAAAATATTTCACTTTTTTTGTCAATGTCATCAATTTTGACGATCTCAAAGGCCCTGTAAAGGCCAAAACAAAAGACGAAACCACAGGAAACCGCAAAATCAACAACCATAGATAAGATCAACAACGCCTTAACGACGGTAGTTTTCGCTCAGTATTTTTGCGGAAATAATAGATTTTCACTAGATTTCTCCCCGTTCTCCCCAAAGAAATGATTTCGGAAAGTGAAGATGAAGCGATGGATTGTACCCCACCTGAATTAAAAGAAGCAGCAGACAGGATTGGAGAGAGTTTGCTTCCAGCAAAAAGCAAATTTCGGTACGAAAAGGCTTTTCAAATATTCGAAGCATGGTGTAGCCAGAAAGGAACGAGAAATACTGCCTCGGAGACCGTTTTGTTGGCGTATTTTGGCGAATTATCTAAGGAAAAGAAGCCTTCGACTTTATGGTCGACTTACAGTATGTTGAAAACCATGATTAAATTGAAAGAGAAAGTTGATATCTCCAATTACGCAAAACTTATAGCTTTTTTGAAGCGGCAAAATCTGGGCTTTCAGCCGAAAAAGTCGAGCGTTTTTTCCAGAGAAAACATTAACGAGTTCCTCACGAAGGCAGCTGAAGAATTCATTAGCATCAAGGTAGGTTTTCAAAAAATATACAAAGAAGATAAAAATGCGAAAATCAAAATGATTTTCTGTATGCTATAGCTAGGTTACCCATTTTATTTTTATCTGGTTTCAGGTAGCGCTAATTGTTGGTGTGTCGGGTGCATGTAGGAGCGATGAACTAGTCAAGATGAAAATGGAGCACGTCAACGTTTTGGAAGGAAAGATCGCTATAGAAATTCCACACACAAAAACTTACACAAGTCGATCGTTTATCATAAGCGATCCAGATTGGGTTGCTATTTTCCACAAATACCTCACTTTGCGGAAAAATTTGAAAAATGACAGGTTATTTGTTCAATGGCGAAATGGGAAATTACATAACCAAGCAATTGGCTATCATTCAATCTCAAAATTTCCACATAAAATAGCTGCTTTTTTGAAGCTTCCAAAAATTGAAACTTTTACAGGGCATGCTTTTCGTCGTACTTCCGCAACCTTATTGGTTGACAACGGGGCCGATCTATTGCAACTCAAAAGACTGGGAGGGTGGAAATCGAGCACGGTTGCTGAAGGCTACATAGAGGCATCTTTGGAGAACAAAAGTAAGACTGCTCTGATGCTATCCTCTACTTCCAAAGGTATTCAGTTGTCCAGTGCATCCACAAGTACATCACATGCGGAAACTCATCCGCAAGCGCAAGAGATAATAGTTCCAAACGAAACACAATTCCAACAGGATGGTCTCAAGATTTCCATTATAAACAACAATGCTAATTTAACAATTAATGTAAATAAGTGAATAGATTTAATTAGTTCCATGTAATACATGTGGTTTTATTATTATATGTGAGAGCTGTATGAAAATTATCAATTTGGAACGAGCAGGGAAATGGGGACGGAAAAGCATTTGCCGTCCCGGACGGAAAATGCTTTTCCGTCCTAGGCAGGCATATGCATTACCGTCCCGATAAATGTCAAAGTCCAGAAATGTGACACTTTCAAGATTTTGAAAAACCTGCAATGTCAACATTACATATGTGGTTGAAAATAAAATTATTTATCGGTTACTGTATTTACCTATCACTGAATTTATGTTAAATATTCCAGGCATACACTGAAATTAAATCTCATATAAAGGCTAAGATCCGAGCAGGAAAGCCTCTAAATGAAACCGAAAAAAAAATGTGCTCAAATATCTGGCCTTTTTATTTCATGTGAAGGTCTTCCAGATGTCCCGGAACTGGGAGGAAATATTGGTAAGCTATAAGTATTATATCATTCAGCTATAACAATCATTCAGCAAAATGATGCATTTTTTTAAGGACAATATTCTAAAGCATTACTTTAGAATTAAAAACCAAATTATACCTATTTATAGAATCTCTCGGAGTGAAAAAGTTCTGATTTCAGAAGCGCCAGAAATACCAGACATAGAGGAACCAGGAGATATTGAGGAAAATACTCAGACAGAGACCGATTCTCAAGAAGCAAGACCGATTTTTCAAAAAAAAAAATGTCAAGAAAAATCAGCCTGAGAAATCTTTACAATGTAAGTATTATTTTACTTACAGGGTTTTACAAAAACATGGGATATAGCTGAAGGGGAAATTCCTTGATCAAAAATAGAACAAAAATGTTACATTATACTTAGCTTAAAATAGGCTCATTAGGCCCCATTATTAAAATAAAGAGTGGATTCATTTTTCAATTTTATGCAAAATTCAATTTAAATCTACTTATTTATTTTTTTTCATTTTCACTTTTACATGTAGGTATATTTTTTCATATTTGTTTCAGTACTGTTGAATGAGCATATATCTACAACTAGTAAAGGCTTGCAAGTCATTGCCATCTCGATCCAGGCAGTGGCTGAGGCAATTAATAATGTTGCCTCAGCTATTCAACAATCCAAAGAATAGACTTTTAGTTTACAATTTACCAAAAAACGTCCAGTCCATTATAATTTGTTCCTAGAATCTTATTTATTTTTATTATTTTATTTTAGTTTTAGAGAAATATTTTGTTTATAATTGTCTGCAATATTATTAGGAAAAAATACATAAATATTTAATTTCTGTTGCTTTTTTTTATAGTTATAAGGAAACAAAAAACGTCAGTCATGCAGTATGAGATGAATCTACAATTTAAAAAATCGAAGAACAATGATCAAGAGTCTTTTGAGAAACTATGCGAGCAGCTCAATGAGGAAAAAAATTCTATAAAGAGGTCTTCTGCGAATTGGAAAAGGGTAGAAAAAATATATATTTTCCTTTTTTCTAGAAATAACATTTCAAAAAGATTTTTAGTGAATGGGAGTCAAAAGTTAAGGCAAAAGCCAGGAGAATACATTTTGAAAATGAACTGACTGGGGGAGGGATACCCATAATCGAGATTTTGAAAAATCTTGAAAGAAAACTTTTGGAAGTTTTGGCGAAAATCTTGATCTATGGGCATCCAAAAGTAGCAGAGCTAGGTTTTACAAAGGAAAGGACAAAGGTACAATCTTGTACCTATAAAACATTGAGGACGAGAAATTTGGTAAAAAAACACAGAAAATCTTCGAGTATGAAATGAAATAATTTATTTTGTAATAATTATAGGTTAACTGAATTGAATTTTTAGGGGGGAATGTGACCTAAAACAAATTTTGCATGATAATGCCCAGCTAGTACTGAGAAGTTTGGCTGCTATAAACAGCAGTCTCCATCTTTTAAATCAAGCTCTAATCAATCTAGCCAGCACATTAAACTAAAAAAATAATAATAATAATTATTAATAAACATAACTTAAAGGAAAAAATTTATTTGAATTTCTAATTTACAACTTAATAAACTTATATCTATTATTCAACAGCAGTAATTTTTCACCACTCAATTCCTAACAATACTAAATCAAGCTTGAACAAATCCAGCCAGCACATTAAACTATAAAAGAAAAGTATAATTATTAAACACACCTATAGAGAAAAAAAAAATGACTTAAATTTTCGATTTACAACTTAATAAATAACCTTATTTTATATTATTCAACAGCAGTAATGTTCCTCTACTCTATTCCTAACAATACGACCCTCTTGCAATCTGTTTCGCTCAATACGGTTCAAATCATCTGGATCTTCAAGCACATTATCATTATCGGCTCCATCCTCATCACCGGGATCATGATCATCTAGAAAAAATAACATTCATAATACGGTTTATTTAAATTTTACAACACACCATTACCATCATCAAAATTTTCATTGCGATCAATACAACAAATATGTATTATAGCAGCGGAATAAATTATTTTTGCTGCTCTTTCTGGGGAATAATGCAATGTTCTATGCTTCAGGCAGCATCTAAAGCGTTGTTTAAACAGTCCATTTGTCCTTTCCACAGTATTTCTGACAGATCTATGACGTCGGTTATATTCTCTCTCATTTTGTGTGACTGGGTGGGCAATTGGTGTGAGCAGCCATGGCTCTAAGGGATAGCCTGAATCTCCTACCAATCGGTATTCAAATTACCTAATTAATGAGCCATCTGAAAATTAGAATTCGAACTTACCTAATAAATATGTCATCTGGTTTCTATTTTGTGCGAAATTATTGGCCAGATGCGTTCTTACTAAGGATGTCTGCCATATGGCAGAATCGTGAACTGATCCAGGAAACCTAGCATTAATATTTAGGATCTTTAATTTTGCATTACAAACCTGCAAGTAAAAAAAAAAATATGAATCCCTGATTGATCAGGGTTTTGAAAAAAGAGTATGTAAACATGTTTACTTACTATTTGGACATTCAAACTATAATATTGTTTCCTGCAATAGAATATCAGACCTGGCATTCCAGGGTTTTCAGTTTTTGGGGCTATTATGGCTCTTTGGGTGCAGTCGATACACCCTATTATACCAGGAAAACCATCCATTTCCATAAACCTATATACATAAATAAATGAGCCTGTATTTCAAGTTAATTCAAAACTTACAATTGCTTCTCACGGTTTTTTTCTACCTCTGTTCCAGGAAACTGTATGATATGACCAAGAACCTCCACAATAAGGTCTGTAACTTCTGACAAACATCGGCTAACAGAAGTCTGATGCATGCTTGTCAGATAGTCTTGACCTATACCTCTTTGGTAGGACCCTTCACATAGAAAGTGTGAAGATGCAAAGAACTAAAATATTTGAAAGAATAGTAGAATAATTTTATATGTATAACAGTGATTCTATTTCATATATTTACCCTCAAAGCTTTAGGAATAGCTGTTGTTCGTTCAGAATCCCTCATATGTGGACCAATTTGGCTTAAAAGCCAGTGACCCAATTCTCTCGATACTCTGAAAATTCTTCTAAAACTGGATTCAGGTAATGATAACGGATCACTTGTGTTATCGTCTTTGAAAATTCAAATCACGCCTATAAAAAGTAGATTAGGAAGCTTGTTTTTTGGCTTACACTGTTCACAAGAATAAAATACTGCTCAAAACTTTTCTTGATGCACATAAGTGTAGGTTAAATGGGTATGTACTATGTAGCTACCCTACCTGGTTTAAACTTTGGAGTATTTACTTTTATTTTATACTACCTTTGAATTTTATTTTGCGCGAATTCGATGAATAGAACCAGATCCATTTTAATAGAAATAAATCCGTAAAGTTAATAAATAGTCAATCACGACAGATAAAACGAAAAACAAAACAAACATTTTTTGGTTATGTTTCCATTATTTCTAGTTTCGTACCATAGAAATTTTGGTTGACGTTAAAAATATTGACCCTTTTCAATGTTGACTTGGAATTTATTTCTATATTGTTCCTTACTGCATACCAAATATTGAAATTAACAAGTTCACTTGACTTGATTTCAACATCTTGAAATTATAGAATGTCAATAATTGAAAAGTGGACTTACTGCATAGCAAATATTGAAATGTCTGTCAAATTTCAATTTTGTGTCACAATTTCAACCTTGACTTCAAGTCAAGGTACATAGTGCATAAGGCTGATTATGTGATAATTTTTTTTTAACAATAAAGCATTATTATACTATTTTCCTGAAATCCCACAGTCATCACTACTAAATATATTTTTCAGTGTATATGGATTTTTAAATCGTTCTCTGGCGTCAGCTGGCGTTCTTGTGGCTTTCTCTCAGTGTAGGATGTGGGCTAAATGTTTTATTTTTGAAATTCAAGGTCACGAATTTATGCTCCGTAAAATCAATGGGGTTCGCGCGTTTTATCGCTTCTCTATAGTTTAGTTATTTTCTGACTTCATTTGAAGAAATTGAAAATAAATTTTTATCCTGAAATGTATATCACTTTACTAAATAGGACCCTGTCGTTTATCGCAGCTGACGGAATCGAAGCGCTAACGCATGCTCGCAACCTGAAGAAAAAGCTACTAGAAATGCGAACTGTCAACTTCACTTTCTATCGTAATTTCAACTATACCAGGCCTTTTAACTGAGCCTTTATAAGGACGTTCAAATGAGCCACTTCCAGGATCTTCAACTGAGCCTCTTCAGGACCTTCAATCGAGCTACTGCCAGTAGCATTTCAAAATGCCGAGATTTACTTTTTAAGGCAATAGGTGAATCAATTAACCAAAAAACCGGAACAGTTAACAACAGGATTCAGCTATGAAATTGTCAAGAAAAATGATGCACATTTGCTAATGTATACTGGTATTCCAACCAATGAGATGTTCATGGTTCTTTTCGAACTTATGGATAGCATTAAATTGAAATACTATGCTGGATGAAATATTCAGATCATTCGCAGAATTGATCAGCTGTTGATGAAACTTAGGCTCAAGGCCCATTTATAATCTCGACGTTACGATTCCGTTACCGTTTGCGCCTGCCGTTCTGAGCATAAAAATATAGAATTCCATAAAATCCTTTATATTCGCCGTCGGCCGCACCGTCCACCGTTAGCCCTGCCGTTTCATTCCGTCAGACATAAACCAATTTTATCTTTTCCGCCGCTGACTCAAGCTCATCTTTCCTGGGAAAAGTTTCATTTTTATAGATAGTTAAAATGTGGGGCGTCATCAATCTCAGCCCCAAAAACGGATATTATCAGGTAAATTCATTTTTAATGAGTTTTGAAAATTTTTTAAACTGGGCCCGAACAGCAATAAAAGTACCTGATTATGATAATAAGGCATAATTAGGGTGCTGGACGGGCAGGCAAATATAAAATGCTGGATTTTATTTTAAACAACCTAGTGCTTGTGTATTTATCTCAAGTGCATTTTATGTGAGAAAAATGTGTGGGTTGGTTCTACTAAATTGAGTAAAATTACTAGTCAGCGAGGTAAAATACTACTGATATAAAACCAGTTCAAGTTTAAAGAACATAATAAAAAATATCTTCGGGAGAAAAAAACTGGAGGTGTATTAAACAATGTTTTAATGCCTGGTTGAAAACCTTGGGAGACTCGTCCGGTCCGGTATTTCCTTGGTCATCAAAACTATTCACACGAACAGCAACAAGCAAATGGTTTGCAAAGGCAAATACTGACTAAATCGGCCAAAAAAAAGCAGAAAAAAATCTGACAGAAAAACCAGCCAAAATAATGAGGGGGGAGATACTCATACCAATGCTATCACCGTAAGGGACTTGGATTGCGTGAGAAGAAATATACCCATATTCTGCTCTGCTCGGCGGAAGAAACTCGCAGCTGTACCAAGGACGATTATGGAAATACACACAGCCTTAGATTTAATGGATCTGAAAACAAGTGCGCGTGAGAATTTTTTATTAGTTAACTGTTTTATCGTTAACTATCAACTTGGTTATATGTCACAAGTTCTGTACATGGACGTCTCTTTTTCTTGCTGCACAAAATTTTTCAAGCAATACTTCATCATACACGGATTTTTTAGTGGAAACTACATTCCTTTAGTTTTTTGCCTATTAAACGATA